TGTGATGTCTCTTTCTGGAGTCAAGTTCCCCCTCAGGCTGGTGCCTTTTCCTTCATAGTATGAGATTCCTGGGAATTTCCATTTCTGAGAGCTCCATTGTTTCAATTCTCTGATGGTCAGATTGAGACTCTAGCTTCTCTTTAGAATGTCCTTATCTCTGCCCTGCCAGGAGCACTTATGCAAAGCTCTCTACCATTGAGCCACACTCCTACTCTTTGGTTTGGGGGTCTTTGTGTAGCTCAGGAGGGCTTTGAGCTCAGGATCCTTTGCCTGCCCCGCCCCCCCCGCAAGGGGGAGTAAGCATGGGATCTTGGCATTAGGCATTCCAGCTCCTGCAGGTGGTCAGCCTAGGGCCTCAGCCCCCTAGGATTTGGTCCAGGCTCTGGGGACTGGTAGATTGCCAAAGGTTGGGGCTGACTCTGGAGACCTCAGAGCCAGGCCTACCAGAGGGCTGCAGGTGACCTGCCTCTTTTGGGAGTAGAGGATACTGAGGTCAGCAGTTTATTGACCTGTGCTTCCCAACCAGTCTCAGGGAGCCACTGACTGCAGTGGTTACCCAAGAGCCTCTAAACAGATGACATTCAGGCCTCAGACCTACTGGATAGGCAGCCTAGCCTCCATATGACAGTGGTGGCTGTGATCCACTATCCACTCAATACCCTCTTAGATAGAAGCCATGGGAAGGTGTGGGGATCTATTTTGGAAAACAGGGTTCATTTGGAGATGAGCTATGCTCTGGAGCCAAGCCTGGACCACTACTGTTTTTACAAATAAAGTTGGTTTTTTTTTTATTTTTTAATTTTAATTAAAAAAAAAATTTATGTGTATGCATGTATTGCCTGCATGTAGGTAAGTGCACCTGTGTCTTGCAATGACCACAGAGGACAGAAGAGGCTGTCGGATCCCCTGGAGCTGGAGTTACAGACAGTTGTTAGCTGCCATGTGGGTGCTAGGATTCAAACCTGGGTGTTAAGAATGGTCAATGTTCTTAACCACTGAGCCATCTCTCCAGCCCTATAAATAAAGTTTTATTGGAACACAGCCATGCCTTTTGGAGACAGGGCCTCACGATAAAGCCTAGGTTGGTCTCAAATTTGTAATCCCCTGCCCTGGGCTCTTGAGTACTGGGATTAGGGGCATGTGCTATCATGCCCAATGTCCAACTCCAGCTGTATCTTTTGTTTATAGATTAAGACTGCTTTGGGGTTAGGAGGCAGAGTTCAGTAGTTGGGACAGAAACCATTTGGCTCACAAGGCCTAACATACTGTCTGGCCCTTTGCAGACAGAGGTGTTAGCCCAGGCCTGCACAGAAAGCCTGGATGAGGGGTATGGGTGGGGCTTCTCAAGAAAGTGGTAAAGGCTAGTCACTTGGGTGCGTGCTGGGGAAGATTTCTGGAGGCTGGGGTAGGTGGTGGCACAGGCAACAAAGGCCCTGTAGGTTGGGGGCTTGGCTTAATGCAGACCGACTTCTACAAGGGAGGATTCTAAAGCCCCGCTGCCTCAGCAGTATCAGACTCTGGTTGCCATGGGCTAGGACAATCATCTGGGGTCTTTGTGAGAAAAGGCACATGTTGGTGCAGTCTGCAGGAAAATGGGCATGGAGGCCTCTGAGCCTCAGCCAAAACAGCAGGTAACAGAGAATCTCAGCATGGCCTCATTGGACCCAGCAATGCCAGATCGTCTGATTTTCTAAGACAAACCAAACCAAACCACAGTCAGGTTTTCCTGGGGAATTCGGCTTCCGTTCTGTTTCATTTTTTTTTTTTTTTTTTTTTTGAGACAGGGTCTCCCTATAGATCCAGCTGTCCTGGAAGTCACTATGTAGACTAGGCTGGCCTCCATCTGATACCCCTGCCTCTGCCTCCTGGGTGCTGGGATTAAAGGAGTGAGTCACCATGACAGTTGGGAATCGTATTTTTTTTTTTTTTTTGGTCTTTTTGAGATAGGGTTTCCCTGTAGCCCCAGCTGTCCTGGAACTCACTATGTAAACCAGGCTGGCCTTGAACTCTCAGAGATCCACCTGCCTCTGAGTGCTGGGATCAAAGGCGTGCACCACCACGCCCGGCCTGAGAATCGTTTTTATAAGTTTGCAATTAATTGTATTTTAACTAGCAGGGAAGGGGAGCAAGCTTCTGGTTTGATGGCTACTGGAAAGTGCACCAGGCCCAGCCCTTTTACCAAAGACAGCTGCTGGGGGATGGTGTCAGCTTTCCAGCCTTGACCTAGCCCACCCTGGAGGTGGGGAAGTCTCACTCCTGCCCGAGTTTGGAATGGGGGTCGTGTTGTCCCAGTGCACAGTCTCTGGTGCATCACCCGAAGTCCCTCTCAGGGTCATAGGTATGCCAACATAGGGTGAAACTTAAGGTGTGGGTTTGCTGCTTGGTCCCCAAGGAGCCTGAGTGGGGATAGGTGGCACTAGACACAAGACCCATGGTTACCTCTCTTGTGAAGTTGGACTGCCAGCCATTGGGCAGTTTGCAGGAGGGGGGTGTCCCCGCCCACTCCTGGGCCTTCTCCATCCTGGGCCTGCCCCTTCCTACTAGTATTTGAACACATGCTTGCATCCAGATGGATATCCTTTCGATCCAGGCAATGACGGCAGACCCTGGGCCAAGGTGGCTTAACCAGAGAAGCAAATTTCGTGGTTCCTGCGCAGGAAAACTTCAGCGCAAGGGCACCGGATCCCGTGCTCCCGCAGCGCCGGTGTTGGCTCTGGGTTCCCGGGTTGCCTCTGCTTCCTGGGCCGCCGGGTTCTCGAAGGCCGGGAGGCGCTCCAGGTTTTCGAGGTCAAACTCACCACTCCGCCTCCCTGATCCCTTAGGGATGGGAGTAACCAGTCACAGCCTCAAGGATCTTAAGGTGGCTTCTCATTGGTCCTGCGCGGGCCACGTGCTGGACCTGGCCCTGGCCCGGTGACAAGGGGCGGAGCTGATGATGGTGAGGGAGTTGGGCAAGAGGATTGCAGAGAAATCAGGGTGCCATCCCGGAAGCGGAAGTGAACAGCAGTACGGCCCTCAGCCGGCACCCTCTCCTGAGGGAGCTGAAGAGGACATGGTGGGGCCCTGCGGCTGCGCCCCTGCTGTTCTGGGGGTTCTCCAAGGCACTAAATATGGGAGTCACACAGGAGTGACCTCTAATATAATGTTAGGAGCCTTGCCCAGGGTGGGATGGGGCTGCACCAGCCTCCACAGAGTGGTATGGACACCCTCTTGAGAAAGGAAAGCCAGCTTGTTTGGAGGGGCCTGTTCCCCCGGGAGCCCCTGAGGGATGCTGGTGCTAAGTTCACACACAGCTGTCAGGAGTCCGCTGCTTGGTCCAGAGCTCCCCTCTCCTAGATCCCTCTTGTCCTGGCTACCCAAGGCAGCAGCGGCGTTTCTTTGTCACCAGGAGAGAAACCACACTTCCAGCATTCCACACTAGCTCTCCCTAGTCCTGGAGCTGGACCCCCCCCTCCCCCCGCCGAAGTTGCCACTGTCAGGCACTGGTGCTTCTCCTGGGTTCCAGAACAGTTAGGCCCACTTTCCTCTTCCTGTGGAAGTCTGTCTTCCTGTTGGTAGAACATTTCAAGAAGAAATAGGGGAACCTGGTGTGGTGGCACTCATGGTAATCCCAGCAGGAGGCAGGAGGATCAGGATTTCAAAGCCAGCATCTGCTACAGAGGGAGTTTGAAGCCAGCCTGGGCTACATGAGACCCTGTTTTAATCCCCAGAGGGAACAGGGTGTTTCCTGCAGAGGTCTCCTCAGCTGAGATGTTAAGTCTAGCCAGGCCCGTCCCTAGCAAGCCATCTTCATTGTGGTCAGCTTTGTTTATATACAAGAACAACTGGGAGCCTTGAGTCTGGGATGCCCAGGCCCTACCTGGGTCCAGTGACTGCAGACTCTGGCATCTGATCCAGGCCTAAGAATTTTTTTTTCTTTTCTTTTTTTTTGAAATATTTTATTTATTATTTTTATGTGTATGTGTGTTATTGCCTGCATGTAGGTAAGTGCACCTGTGTTGTGCAATGCCCCACAGAGGACAGAAGAGGCTGTCGGATTCCCTGGAACTGGAGTTACAGACAGTTGTTAGCTGCCATGTGGGTGCTGGGATTGGAACCTGGGTCTTATGCAAGAACAAGCAGTGTTCTTAACTGCTGATCCATCTCTCCAGCCCCTTTTTAAAAAGTTTTTAAGGTTTAATTGTTTATTACATGTATGCCTGCCTGCGTTTATGTGCACCACTTGTATGTAGGTGACCAAGGAAGTCAGTGTCATATTCCCTGGAACTAGAATTACAGGTACTTGTGTGCCACCTGATGTGGGTGCTGGGAACTGAACTGGGTCCTTTAGAAGAGCCCTTAACCATTGAGTCATCTCTCCAGGCCCGCTAAGTATTTCTTAAAGTTCCCAGGAGATTCTTGGGACTGGCAAAGTTGTAGTTGGAGGTGGTCCTGTGTGGAGATGCATCTGTAACCTACCCAGAGCCCATCAACCAGCTACAGAGAGTTGTCCAGTGGGAAATCTCTTGTTAACTTTCACTCAGCATAAACATACCAGAAACCAGGGAGCACTTTCTGGAGCGCTCATGTTGTGAAAAAGGAACATGTGGGTTTGGCACAGACTTGAGGAACATGGGGGGCGCTCAGGGAAGAGAAGCCAAGGATACTACCATGCCCAACTCTTGGCTCTGCAGGGATATCTGTTATGTATACACATACTCGTGCAAGCACATACACACAGGTACACCCAAAGACCAAAGTATACATGGGTCACAAGGAGTAGCATGAGGCACACACCCTCTGTACAGCTCCTTCTCAATTGGACTCTGAGGTTCTGTTGCTCCGGACAACACCTTTCAGGTGGCTGGTTCTTGCTGTCACAGGCAGGGCTGCCAGCAAAGCTCAGGAACCTTGTTCATGTGGCAGCTCTCCTGCAGGGTAACTCTTGGTGCTGGGATTCATGGGTCACAGAATGAGTGGTTTCCCATTGTGACCAGACATCTTGGCTTTTGTCATTCCAGAAGCCCGTGGCATCAGCACCCTTGCCTTATGAGCTGCCCATGCTGTACAGGACAGAGGACTATTTTCCCATGGATACTCAGGAGGCAAAGCACGAAGTCCCCTAACTGCCACCACCTTGCAGTGTAGAGTGATGGCACAGGAGCTGCTGGCATTACTCTTCCTCATTGATTTGCTTTGCATTTTCTCTGTGTGGGGCGTGGAGCAGCAGTGGTTACCCACAAAAGGACAGTGCATGACATAGGCCCACAAAGGCATTCTCTGCCGGTCTCCAGGGCATGGGGTCTACAGTGAGGGTTGTTGTCTGCAGACTGAGTCCCATCCTGTGGATCACCCGAATAAAAGGTGTCAAGAGCTCTCCCATGGTCAGGCTATGAGGTCTGTGGGAACATTGGGCTCCTTTTCTCCTGTGTAAATGTTTTCTCTCAGGTCACTCTGCCTGGTCAAAGGAGGCCTGGTACTCCAGTCTGTGCCTGAGGGGAGGGGGGTAAGCCTGGCCACCATCCAGCTGGAACACAGAGGCCAGAGGGTCCCTGTACCCTGGTATGCTGGTCTTCCTCCCTTCTGCAGACCCGCTTCCTGCTGTCATCCCCTCTCAAGAATCTGCCAGCAAGCTTCCACCTGGGCTAGAGATATGTGGAGTTCCTCTTAGAGTTAAGAATGCACAGGAAGGTGCATACACATACACACACACAAACACACACACACACACACACACACACACACACACACACACACACATGGGAATAGACTGCAGGATTAAAATTTCAAAGCAGTTTAAAATAATGTATCTGGCATGGCAGCAGGAGACAGCGAGGAGAAATGGAATGTGCCAGTTTTGGGAAACTTTGGAATTCAAAACATGTAGGTGAGCTGAACAGGGCAGGGTGGCCTGATGACCTGAGTTTGACCCCTGAAATCCACACTGTAGGAGAGAACCGACCCCCACAAGTTGTCCTCTGATCATTCCACATATGTGTTGTAGCATGTGCATGTGCTCATCCCAAATAAATAAATGTAATTACAAAAATTCAAATTTGCTAAACGACCCACCACCAGCAGAAACCCCAGAAGTGTGTGGTTGGCTCTGAGCAATTTGAAGATATCTGTGTTCAGCCACTGGGCAGGCATCTGGGAAAAATAAAAGGAGCCCACACCTGACTCTGCACCCTGGCAAAGTTTCAGAATTCCAAAAAGTCTTAATTGTATCAAAAAAAAATGTAGCTATTGAAGAGGCAAAAAGAGCAGAGAGATGAGACAAGAGGAGCCAGAAAGACCACTCTGAAAGGAGTCTGGCCTGGTGGCACACGCCTTTAATCCCAGAACTGGGGGTGGGGAGTGGGCAGAGACAGGTGGATCTCTGTGAAATTGAGGCTAGCCTGGTCTACACAGTTCCAGGCCAGCGGGGGCTACAGGAAGACCTGGACGCAAACAAACAGCAGCAACAACAAAAAAGCTGAAATGCCTCTTTAAAAAAAAGACCCCCCCCAAATTCCAAAACAGAATAGAAGACCCCTAAATCCCAATACAGAACTAATTTTTTTTTTTTTTTTGGCCTTTTTGAGACAGGGTTTCCCTGTAGCCACAGCTGTCCTGGAACTTGCTATGTAGACCAGGCTGGCCTTGAACTCACAGAGATCTGCCTGCCTCTGCCTCCCAGGTGCTGGGATTAAAGGTGTACGCCACCATGCCCAGCCAGAACTAAATTAAAAAAAAATATTTAACCCCAAGCACTCAGAAGGCAGAAGCAGAGGCAGGTGAGTTTGAGACCAGCCTGGTGTACGTAGTGAGTTCCAGGCCAGCCAGGGCTGCATAGTGAGACCGTTTCTCAACAACAACAACAAACATGGCTAAAACTTTTTTTCACAGGTTGGAGAGATGGCTCAGCGATTAAGAGTGCGTACTGCTCTTGTAGAGGACCCAAGTTCAATTCCCGATATTCAAGTTGGGCTGCTTATGACTGCTTGTAATTCCAGCTCCAGGGGATCCAGCAACCTTCTGGCCTCCACAGGCCCCTGTACACCCATGCACATCACCCCCACCCTATATACACATAATTAAAAATAAAGCTTAGCTTTTTGCTTTTTATATATATTATTATGTGTGCGTGTATATGGAGGTCAGAGGACAACTTGTGGGAGTCAGTTCTCTCCTTCCACCACGTGGGTGCTGGGGATTGAATTCAGGTCCTCAGGTTTGGCAGCAAGCACCTTTACCCTTTGAACCATCTTGCTGGCCCCAACAAAAAAATCTTAAATCAAATTCAAGATAAATGTCAAAGTAGGAAAATGTATTTGCAAATGTTACAAAATCCAATATGTAAACAGCACCTACAAATAAAAATTAGGGACATGAGTAAAGGGTATACGCAGCCATTTCACAAAATGCAGACAGTACTATGGGACTTAAGCTCAATGGATACCAATAGCTATGTGAGTTCTTTTTTTGTTTTGTTTTTTTTGAGACAGGGTCTCCCAGTAGCCTCAGCTGTCCTGAAACTCAGTATGAAGACCAGGCTGGCCTCAATCTCACAGAAATCTACCTGCTTCTGCCTCTCAAGTGCTGGGATTAAAGACAGGCACCACAGCACCTGATTGGGAGATTTATTTTTATTTTTTGGTATTTTTGAGACGGGTCTCCCTGTAGCCCCAGCTGGCCTGGAACTCACTATGTAGACCAGGCTGGCTTTGAACTCACAGAGATCTGCCTGCCTCTGTTTCCCAAGTGCTGAGATTAAAGGCCTATGCCACCACACCCGGCTTTTTAAAATAATTTTTATGCCTGGCCTCGTGCCGCACACCTTTAATCCCAGCACTCAGGAGGCAGAGGCAGGCAGATCTCTGTGAGTTCAAGGCCAGCCTGGTATATACATAGTGAGTTCCAGGACAGCTGTGGCTACAGGGAGACCCTGTCTCAAAAAGACCAAAAAATAAAAAAAATTTACAGCGGAGCATGATGGTGCATGCCTGTAGTCCCAGCACTTACGAGGCAAAGGCAGGTGGATCTCTATGAGTTCAAGGCCAGCCTGGTTTACATAGTGAGTTCCAGGACAGCTGGGGCTACAGGGAGACCTGCTTCAAAAAGACAAAAAAAAAAAATAATTTGTGTGTATGCATGTATTGCCTGCATGTAGGTAAGTGCACCCGTGTCATGCAATGTTGGATGTGTATGCTGTCGGATCCCCTGGAACTGGAGTGATGGAAAGTTGTTAGCTACCATGTAAGTGCTGGGATTTGAACCCAGGTCTTTTGCAAGAACAACCAGTGTTCTTAACCACTGAGCCATCTCTCCAGTACCTACTTACGTTTTATTTTATGTGTATGAGTGTATTGCCTGCATGTGTATAAGTGTACCTGTGTCATGCAGTGCTCTTGGAGGTCAGAAGAGGGCATCAGATCCCCTGGAACTGGAGTTATGGAAAGTTGTTAGGCACCATGTGGATGCTGGGAATTGAACCCCGGTCCTCAGCAAGAGCAGCCAGTGCTCTTAACCACTGAGCCATCTCTCCAGCCCCTCTTTTTAAATTTTCCGAGTTTTGCTGGCCAAGAACTTATGTTTCTTCTGGTTCTGCCTCCCAGTTACTGAGGTTACAGGTGTGTACCATCATGTCCAGTTAGTGTGGAAGATCGCTGAAATCCCTGATGGGGCCAGGAACACGCCTCAGCAGTAGAGTGCTTGCCTCCCATGCACAAGGCACTGAAAAAAAGAATGAAAAAAAGCATCTGTAAATTGCTTAGACAGCTGACATGTCAGGCTGAACAGCTAAGCAGTTTGATGAGACTGTTGATGAAATTGTGGACGTTCACCTTCCTCTTCTCTGATGATGGGCCCCATTCTCATGGACAACTGGCAATGCCCTCAGTTGTGCCTCCTCACCTAGGATTCTGCCTCTGGGAACCCAGCTTACAGGCATGACAAAGAAATGGTAAATGCAAGCCCAGTGTGGTGGCTCCCTCCTGATCCCAGCTACTTGGGAGAGTGAAGCAGGAGGATCCTAAGTTCAAAGCCAGTCTGGGCTACAGAGTGATTTCAAGGACAGCTACATAGTGAATTCCAGGCTAGCCTTGGCTGTAGAATAGGACCCTATCTAAAACAACTACAACAACAAAGAACAGCCTTGACTACACAGTAAGACCTTGTTACAGAAAACCAAAGGCAGTGGAAGGGCACTTGCCTTGCATGTTCAAGGCCGTGGGTTCAGCCTCAGTACCCAAATAACAGATATACAAAAGTTAAGTTATTCCTACTCCCCCATCCCGGATAGGTCTTATGTAGCCAAGCTGGCCTCAAACTTGCTGTATAGCCAAGGATGACCTTGAATTCCTAATCCTCTTGTCTCCACCTCTCAGTAGTTGGGATGACAGGTGTGTGAGCACATCTAGTTTATTTGGTGCTGGGGATGGAAGTCAAGGTTTTCCACATGTTAGGTAACTGTACTTAGCCACATGCCTAGCCCCACCATCCTTGATAAGAGATTGCACGTGTCCACAGGATAAGATACTGTCAGCCCGAGATGGATTAGGAGATCTTCATGAGCTGCTGTGAAGTTTATTTCCAAAGTCTGAAAAGCAAGTGTGGGGCACAGAGAGTGCGCTGTGGCGAGAAGACGCTCAGGCACAAACTTGAGAGCTGGGTATGTTTTGGTGAGAGGTCTTTCCAAGGCCCTTCTCCTGTCTTTCTTTCTTTTTGATAATTGGTGTTTTCCTATTCAAAAAGCTCACTTAAAACCAGTTGCCAACAATAAAAAAATCGGGAGTTCATATAAAAAAAGTGGGGTTGAAGAGATGGGTCAATGGTTAAAAATGCATACTGCCCTTTAGGAGGACTGTCTTTCAGTTCCTAGCACCCATGTTGGTCAGTTTATAACTGCCTGTAACTCCAGCTATAGACCAGGCTGGCCTCTACCTCACAGAGATCCACCTGCCTCTGCCTCCCAAGTGCTGGGATCAAAAGCCCGCCATGCCTAGCTACACATACACATATTTTTTAAAAAAGTGTCTGACAACAGTGAGCTCATGTGGCAGCAAAGGGCCTTTAGAGGGAGGGACCGCTGTTCAGATCTCTCTAGACTTCAACTCCCTTCCACCTTGAGTACTGGATGTAACATCCTTAGCACTGGACTGGGGAACTTACTTCAAGGATATAAGCAAAGAGACACCTGGGCAGAGTCTCAGGGTGGGGATGGCACCTGCAGGCATCTCTGCGGTTGCAGCCTGGCTGGGATGTTTGCCCTATTCAAGATTCCCCAGGGATGGAGTAGGCCCCACTGTAGCCGAGTGTGCTGCTGAAGCTCAAGGGGTGACTGGCAACCCATGGTGTACCATGGCCAAACTTCAGACTCGCCATCCCTCCTGGAAGTGGATGCAAAGCCCACAAAATGTGAGCCAACTGTTCATCCATGGAGAAACAGGCTGTCACTTCTCCAGGAAGGCACAGTGGGCTTACCATTTGAAAAAAAGAGTCAATGGATCATACCATATTCATCAAGGTTGAGACCCACAGGAATATTTCAGTACAGGAAAAAGGCAGCTCCTAGTTGCCACTTGAAATAAAAACTGTCCTTGGGTGAAACCCTTTTCTCTGGGAAGGTACTGGAGGAATCTTGTTACAGAATCTGCCTTTGGCCTGATGGGGTACAGGCAGCAAAGACAGCTGCTTAAACAGAACCTATGGTGAGGCCAGGGTCTCACTGTGGACTTAAAAGCATAGAGACTTGGCTAGGCAACTGGGTGGAGGACAGTGGCACTCTGGCTTCTTTGATAGGGTGTGTGGTGGCCTTGAGTGGAGAAGAGTAAGGAGAATTATAGGGCACATAAATTTAGTGGAATGAGGTAAACCCATGAAGCCTGTCTGCTAGAGGTTCCCCTCTCTCAGGGTCCCCTCCATTGGGTCTCCCAGATGCTGTGCTGTGAGGTACCAGGCCTGAGGTGGAAGCAAGAGGTACAGCCCCAAGAACAGATTGTTGCCTTTTTCCTTGAGCACCCAGGAGCCCAACATGATGCAGCATGATCCCTGGGAGGATTCTTGGTTATGTCCAGAGGAATTCAGGGAAAGTGAGGATGTGCTCTCTCTCCATACAGGTGGTCTCTGAGTGTGGAGACAGCCATCTGCTGAAGTGGGATCTGGGACTCACAGAGCTGGGGCAGATACAGGACTAAGGTGTCTTATGGAGCAGTGGCCCTGGTTCTGGTCACACCCCAGCCAATCCTATGGGCTGAGGGACCCAGAGAGGCTCTAAGGCTGTTTTGGAGGCTCCAGTGTGTACTGTCCAGGAGACTGGACATTAGCCAGCAGGCAGGGGGTAAGGGAGAACTTGTCTTCTCAGGGGAACTACAGCTCTCTACTGGTCCCTGTGAGGAGTGTAGTGTCTCCATCATCCCTGAATCTTCCTTCCTAGGCTCACATGAAGCTCACAGGAAGCTCGAATTGGTTTATTTGGGTCCAACAGATTCCATTTCAGCTCCAGAGAAAGGACCTGACAGGTGTCAGGCAGCCAGGATGTCCTGTCCACTATGCTGGCAGGGGCTCTAGGTTAACCTAGCCTCAGGACCACACCCTGGCTCAATTCAGGCATTCATACAGGGTAGTGAATGGGAGGCACCTCACAAACAGGGTGTCTGCCTAGGATGGTGACCCTGCAGGTGGGAGGCTGAAGACCCTGAGTTGTTGATGGCAGCACCTAGCAGTCCCCCTGGCACAGTCAGCTGCCCCTTGTCTTCTTGACCAGTGAGATGAGATGGCTCAGCAACTAAGGACGCTTGCTGGTATTCAAGCAGCCTTGGGTTTGATTCCTAGCACTACAGAAAACCAGGCGTGGTGGTGCATGCATGTAATCCCAGCACTTGGAAGGCAGAGACAGGAGGATCTGAAATCCAAGGTCATCCTCTGCTACACAGCAAGAGGCTAGCCTGGAATATAAGACCCTGACTCAGAAAAGGGTATTATAGGACTCAGAAAAAACACAGGGGTTGGGGAGAATGAAGAGCTCCAGGCATAGATTGCCTAGCATGCAACAAACCCTAGGTTTGATCCCCACCACCTGAAAAAGAAGGGGCAGGGGAGTGGTCTGAAATGAGCTGGGGAAATTCAGTGTGAGAAGCTCACACCTTCCCAGTCCCAGCCTTTCCTAAGCGGCTGTCCTTACCTAAGGCCAAGGCTGCAGGGTGTGGCCTTGGGTGAGAATGAACACTGTGGACTCAGACCCTAGGTCAGGGACTGCACCTTCCCTTTGTCAGCTGGGATCTTGGTCTCTGAGATGCTGGGTCAGTACTTGGGGCCTGGAGCGGATACTCCCTTAGAGGGATTTTTCCTTTGGTGAGAGGCTGTGGGGAGTGTGGAGGGGCCTCAGCACCCTTCACTCCTGGAATGTTTCAGTGGTGGTGCACTTGGACCTTGTTTGGTAACCCTACTGCCCCAGCAGGTGTGCCCAGGCCCCCTACTGGAGGCCCTGCCCTGGAGGCCAGGGTGGAGCTTCTCCATTCTGACTGATGCCAGCCTGCTGCGTGTGCAACCCAGAGCAGCAGGCAAATCTCTGAAGCTGCCAGTCTCCCGCTCCAAGCAGGGTCTTACTTTTGGGTCTTAAGACTCCCAGATGGCTGTCTTGGGGACACAGCTGTCAGTCAGATCTAGCTTAGATGGCAGCCAGTACACTGGAAAAGCCCTATTATTTCTAGCGGCCTTATCAGTTTCCCAAAGGTATCTAGTCTCTTAGGGTATACATTTTCTTTGCGATAAGGGTACAGCAAAATGTTAACTGTAAGCACATGTCAGCAGTCTCCACCTGAAGGCTAGATGTTGCACTGGAGGCAGGGAGGGGTCTGTTACGATGTGAATCCCATATTCTCAGAAACTTGCCTCAATAGTAGGGTAAATTCGACCCTTCATTCTACTGAGCCAAGCCTTCCTCTTGGAGTACTTTGACCCTTTCCAAGGGGAGAGCATTTTTGACTATGTATCTTGTACCTCATTTTTTATAAAACCCCATCTATGCTGCAACTGCACTACATTCAAGTTTGGTGAGAGGTCAAGTTCTACTTGCTGCTAAAAGATTCCAGATACAAAGACAGACCAAATGGTCAGCCTTCCAGTAGCCCTAAAGAGACCCCTTTGTAATTTCAGGTTGACTTCTCAGCAAAACCTTTTCCTAGACTACTTCCTGGTGAACAATTAATTGGTAACAGGAATGCTGAATGTTTTCAGAATGGGGGGGGGTCTTCATCTTTGGGGATTTTTCAAACCTTCCACACCAAAAAAAAAAAAAAAAAAAAAAACCTGCCCAACTCCATGCTGTCAACTTTAGTCAGCATTAGAGGATACTCCACCACCTCATTTTAAAGAGCTCTAAAACGCCAGAAGCAGACTCACTGGGATTTGGGGGCCTGTCTTAAGGTGTCAATGCTGGCAGTGCAGAGGCAGAAAAGGGCTCCTTCGTGCCAGGACAGCTCACTTGGCAAGCAGCAAGCACAATCACTTCCAGAAGCGTTTCAGAGAGGGAGTTTCCAACTTTGGTTTTAAGTAACTGCTGGGTACTTACTTGGCTCACTTCTTAAATGGGCATCTTTGCAAATGTCAGACACTAGGTTCAGACACATACCAACAGGCAGGTAAGTTGGAAGACAAGATTCTTCCTATTTGGATTTTAAGAGAGGAGAAAACTTTTGGACCAATTTCTCCCTTGTATCACTCACGATGTAAAAAATAGCATATGTTTGTATGGGCTGAACAGGGAGCCACTGTCCAAGCCAGTGTGAACTCTGGAAGGTCCCTCTCCTCTGTAGAAGTGTTCTTGTGCACAAGCACTCAGAGCTGGATGGTTTTTAAAGTTGAATGGCCTTCAGATTAATCAGAAAGCAAACAGGAGTAACAAAGTTCTTTCAAAATGATGTTTATTGAGACACTGTAAAAGCTGCTGCACTGTTTCCAGTTAGCAATCTCCAACTCAAGTGGCTAAATCCCTTCATCTGATCAGATGTCCAGTTGTAACTGTGGGCTCCTACCTTGACCCCAATGCCATCCTCCATGCAGAACTCAGGCTATACTCTTCCTGTTAAGTTTCACAGATATGAGATGGCTTTAACCAGCAGGCGTTTCTGATTGGGTAATCTGTTGCATGTTAATTTGGAGATAATTTTATTCTACATGTTAGCTGGTGCAGTTTGGATCTTAGCAAAACTGATTCAGAAAAGATACTAGCCAGCCATAAGTACCCTAGAAATCCTAGTTTATCCTAGAATTGTACTTTTTCCTATTCTGTTTTCAAGTACGGAAATGATGGGCCATCTTAGATAACAGGTCTTCCCTTAGAAAGGGCTAAAAAGTCACAGACATCAGCCACTTCGAACTTCTCTAAGCCCATGTCCTGCAGAGATGGCTGACCTACCCCAACCCCTGCAGAGATGGCTGACCAACCCCAAATGCTGCACTAATTCTCTTTACAGCATTCTGCATTTAGCTCGAGTTGTTCTTGGAAATATATGTACAGAAAATATACAGATCCTCCAGTGCCAACTGCTCCTAAATGCATGCTCTTCACAGCAAATGGTCAGAGGACCTCCAACAGAGGCAGACTCACTGCCTGTTTACTACAACTGTTCCCATGGTGAGGTGGAAATGAGCAGTTTAGAGAGAAGACAGACTACCAGGGCATATGAAGATCCTGCTTGCAAATCAATGCCAACTTATACATTTATATTTCTTGACCACTGAAACATTTACATATACACCCAGGCCCTGCTCCTTATCAAAATATGGCCCCCAAAACTCCAGGATGTGTACTTATGTGATGAAAAGAAGTGCACACACAAACCAAACGATCCACATCAGGTGCCTGAAGAAAAGGTGTGCTCTATGCGAATGGTAGATCTTGGTTTTCCATGAGTTTCCTTGGTGACCGTGGCTTCCGTCTCTGCTCAGAGTGCTGTGGCATCAGCACAAGATATAACAAACTCACAGGACTGTCATGTGTAATAAACCAAATATTTACATTAAGCACAATACAGCAATTTATTTAGATGCTGAAAAGGAATACAAAGGGAAATAAAGACCACAAAATTATACATACTACAACAGTGTGTCATATATTAGATGGTATAAATGAATAACACCACGTGGTGTTCAACTCAAGAGAAAACTAAATATCCCAAATGCAGCACTAACTGTGCTTGCTGCTTCAACACAACACTCTTACAGATCTAAAAGGTGTCAAAATTAGTAGCTGTAAAGTCAATTCTTGCATGTGATTTTAGCTTTAAAAGGTCTCAAAGAGATCTGAAAAAACCAGTTTGTTTTTTTGACAGTTGTAATGTCAAGTATACTCAAAACAAGAAAAAAATTCTATAATACAAGAAGAGTCCAGATATATATCTTACGTTGCTGGCCTCTGCTGCAAGATTGTACAAGGTTATGTGCAAAAACTAAGTCTGTCCAAAGGTCCGTACTAGCGCAGGGTCAAGCTTCTGCTAGGTAAACTAGATATAGCATTTATTACACAGCAAGGGCAACACTGAAAAAAAGAAAAAAAGAAAAAAAAGGGAACAAACCTATGATGGGCACACAGTAACAGTATCATAAGCATCACTTGAGTAGGTCTAAAAGACTGTACAAATATACATGTCAACTATTCAGAATGAGTACATGAAAAAAGGTCGATTTTCCCAAAGTCTACTATACACATTAGAGTGGTAGCTTGTATGTTGGCCCTACACTACCATTGTGAATCATGGTAACATTTTCCAAGGACATTCAACCAAACATTTTACAGAGGGAAACAAATGTTGTAAAGGCAGATAAAATAAACTTCTGCTTTTCCCTGTGTGCATTGTGAGCCACCAGCTTATTGGCTTTTCACATTTCACCATGTCTACCAGAGAAAGGTCTTCAAGATCAACCAACTGTATGTCATAGAATTAGAAACCACCACCGAGACTGTAGTGGTAATATGTCCCCACAGCCTGCTGACGGACCAGTCCTTGCAAGGCAGTACCAGTTAGAAGGCAGCTTTGCAGTCAAGACTGGAAAAAGAGCCTAGGTCCAGGCTGCAGCACATCTTGTTATGGAGCCAGGCCCTCAGGCCTGCTGGCTGCTCAGTTTAACTCCGGTTAAGCTGCCGTGCATGGGCTCAGCTACTCCATCAGTCATGTTGTCAAACTGCTCTCCATCCTCACTGTCAATTGTGCTATTCTGCCACTCAATCTGGGGGTTCGATAAGCGCTCAGCATTCTCAGATGCATTCTCCCACTGTGACTGGTCCTTGGACCAAAACCCTTCAACTTTTCCATAGGAACTATTCTTCCATTTCAATTGCTCTGTGTCACCTTGCATGGAAGCCTTTTTTTTGGCAGCTGGCTTACTGCTCCTTGCATCTTCGCTCTGGGAAGACTCATCAGACCAGGTTCCTGGTTTCATTTCACATGCGTTATCCTCAAAGTCCGACATCTGTTGGGAACCAGGCCCACTCTCAGATGGTGAAGCGCCATCTTTCCACGCAACAACGTCATCTTGGTCTACCTCACTGTCAGAGGCATCATGCATTAGTTTGGTTGGTTCCTCAGTCAAATGGATAGTTTCATATTTTGAACCATCCTCCTCTTTTTGGTCTAGCTTTTCCTCAGATTCTAAAGCGTCCTCAGGAATTACCTTGGGCACATGTTCCTCTGGGTTATCACTAGGGATTTTAGGCTCAACTTCAAAAACAGGGTCAAACGGGCTTCCGCTCCCATTGGATTCTTCTTCCAAATTTTCAAAGCTATCTGAGGAGCTGTCATCTTCCTTCCCAAGGGAGAGCTTTTTGTCAGCAGTCTTACTGGCATTGACTCTCGAGTCCTTCTCGTCATGATTTTCAAACAGCCACTCGGCATCGAAATCCATCTCGTGTTTGACTTTATTTAGTTCTTTCATGTTGAAGCCCAGCAGCACACCAGGCTTGTACTTCTCACAATCACGAACACATTTCTTCCTCTTGTTACTGAAATGAGAGGCAATGTCACTCTTCCACAGCCACAGGCTGGCTGCCAGCTTCTCTATTTCCCTCCTGGTGGGATAGGGCTGCTTGTTGAAGTACTTTGTTAGAAAGCTTTTCCTGGCTTCATAAGAATCATCTTCGTGACCCTTGGGGTCTAAAGCTAAAACCACTGGCTCTTCGGGCTTCTCTTCAAAGAAGCTGGGGGAATCACTATCGTCATCTAGCTTCCGCTTCTTCATCAAGGGAAACTCCATCTGCTCATAGGTGCGCTTCACAGGGGCCAGGCCTGGAGACTGATTGAGCCGAGAAGGTGCGTTTGTCTTCTCCTGGCCGTTCTGGGTCTTTCCAACGCCCCTACAATGGACTAGATGCAAAGTGATGGTTGAGGCGGTCATGTTGCTGGTATACACACCAAGGCAGTGGATACACTTGTAGGTGAGCTTTTTCTCAACTGGATGAACTGTCTGAATAACTTGATGTCTCTCTCGTAAGTGATGTGCAAGCGCGTCAGATATGGGTCCTTTTAGGATCGAAAAGCAAAGAGGACAAAGGGTTTTCCCAACATCTTTTTTATACGGTACTGCAGCTTGAGGTGAACTTTTATTAACAGGGGCATCTGACTTTTCCTGAACTTTTGGCTGTGGCTTTGGAGGAACTGGAGCATTGTTTTGGGCATGGTAAGCAACTGATTCAGCTGGGGCATCCCTCAAGTTGTATGTGGTTACCAGGAGATGGATGTTGGTGTGGCTGCCCTGCTGTAATGTCAAATCAAAGCTCAAAGTAGAATCTGTTTTAGGTCCCATCTCTTCATCAACGTGAACCATTCTCATGTGTGCAGCCATCTTTTCCACATCATTGAAGGTTGAACGGCAATATGGACATGACAGGCCGTGAATTAACATATGGTTGAGCAAGGTATCTGTGGGCAGATAGCGATTACAGTAGAGGCATTTGCTAGTAAAATTGTGTATTTTCATAATGTAATTGGCTACTGCTGGGACTTTCTCAGCTTTATGTTCCTTTTCGAAGTGCACACTATAGACATTTTCAGGAAAAAGCTCATTACAGATTGTACATATTTTCCACTTCTGAGTTGCACAATGGTTGCTTGGGGGAGGGGTTGCGGCAAGTACTGGAGCCTTGGAACTGGACTGACTCAACACTCTAGATGCCTGTGACTGGGAAATGGAAGGAGACTTTAACTGGCTTGACGGGAGGGAAGAGGCATTAGCAGTCTGCAGGGAGTATCTGGCTGGGGCTGGAGACCTCTGCTCTGCCCCAAGCCCATAAGACCTTCCATTTCCACTCGGAAGCAACTGCTTCACAGACTGAGACTGCTGAGGGATGGAAACTGGCGCATTGCCACCCAGACCCAGCCGCACGGATTGTCCAACACCGTAACTCTGACTCACAGACTTGACTCCGTAGCTGTTCTGTTGCAGGTGAACGTTGGACATCATGTTGACTCCAGAGGAATTTAAGTTAGGCTTTGGTATTGATAGTCGATTCACCATCTGCTGTGATGGCAAGGACCGGACATTTCCAGAAGCAAGGGAGCCGATTCTTGGTGGGAGTCCCACGCCTTTTTTCTCTTGAGGTTTGGGAGCAATCAGCATCAAGGGTTTGGATCGGGGAACCACCACATTTGTGTGTCCGATCATGGCAGTGACCTGATAGCCTATCCGTTCGTGGTCTTCGATGACATGTTGTACCAAAGCTTCATAGGACTTTGGCATGAAAAGGCATCGCTTGCAGTGAATATTACACTCTTCACGGGCATTTGTGCCCAGAGGAACTGCACCATTAAGTGATTTTTCTCCAGCCTTTGCTATGTAAGGTGCTGCCACGTGCTGAAAATGTTCCCTGTAAATGTGCTTCCTAACTATTTCGTAAAGAGGATCCCGGTAAGTGCACTTCTTACAGTAATAAACAGCCTGCTCTACACTGTCAGCCTGCTTAGGTTTAAGGCCATCATTTTTGTTTTTATCTTTGAAAGTGCTGAGGCTGCTACTTGGTGCGTTGGAGTTTGGAGCATGGAATATCTTAATGTGTGTTTCCAAAGTCTTTTTGTCTGCATTGAAGGTACAGTAGGGGCAATTAAGGAGAATTCTATTTTCGAAGTCTTCACTATGGACATTCCGGAAATGACTTTTGTAGGCTGAGAAGAATTTTGAGGAAAATGGACAAGCGCTGCAGCAAAAAGGTTTTGTCCGATAGTCCTAAAGAAAACACAGACACTAGAGTGAGAAGGCCACTCCAGGTGGGCGGTTCCAGGTCCCAGGCACCTCCCCCCAGGCATGCTCAGAATGTTATTTTTAGAACTAAAACTCTGCAATGCACTCACTTCTGTAGGTTTCCTCTTGCAGAAAAATTAACAGAAGAGAAACTCCATGAACTCTCAAGCATTGTGAAGCAAGTATTTTTAAGTCCGTCTGTGTCAGTTAAAACCTCAGTGTTAAGTGTTCCCTAAACTGTTAGAAAGGGCTAACTTCTTGCTCACAAGTGTCAGAGACAAGGCAAAGGTAAATATGGCTTCATGAAAAACATTTTTCAGCTGAAAATAGCCAAGAGCAAAGTCCTTCTCACTTTGTGGATCAAGGCCACTAGAGGCTTCAGATAGGATATGGAAAACTCAGGGCCTCAACTGCTTTAACGACTGCTTTAACACAGAGATAGATGCTTACAAGAGACAAAGACACACCATTTCTCTTCTCAGTCACGGAAAAAGGAAAGCCCTGTAACATTTCCTCCTCTAAAGGGAAGCTTGGTATAGTATTCAGATTTCAGTATAGTATTATAGTATTTCAGATAGAAGTCCCTAACTGGGAACACCAGCTCCTGCAAGAGCAGCTTCAACAAGGCCAGTGAAGCGACTGATGCTTGGACTCAACTAAGGCCACCGAAGACCGCCCCAGACCGAGGACTGCAAAGCCGTGCTGCACTGCAGAACAAGTTCATCTTGGTACCAAAGCCAGAATTATGACCCAAACCAAGTAAATATATACATTGAGATGTTATCTTCTCTCTGTTTTGACAACTCTGCTTTTCCTCAAAGTTCCTTCTCTAAGAAAACTTTCACATTAAGACCACTGGTCAACACCTCTTCCTATAAATCCTCCGAGTATGCTAGAATTAAAATGTGAGTTGACACTCATTTCTCCCTACGGAGACAGAGGTACTGTCTATAATTTCATTTATACATCTTCATTTATGGATACACACACTGGGATCAGTGACGATCATTTTGAAGGCAAAGTTGTAAAAAGTTACGGCACTACTCTCCTACAGAGCCACCTACCATACCCTTCCATAAAGATTAGGTGCCATCAGTACAGAGAAAAAAGAACCCTTAAGTAGAAGGGTGAACTCAGCTCTTTCCTTAGAAAAACAAAGGGGCCAACAAAGACAGGAAGACGGCATGCTCCTGGACACACAGAATGCTGGAGAGCACTTTAGAGATAGAAGAGCAATGGAGGGACTATAGCATAGGCTTCCAAGCTCTTATATTTTCATTTTTTAAAAAGACAGGATCTCATTTGCCCAGTCCTGTCTCAAACTTGCTATGTAGCTGAGGAGGCGCTCAAGTCTTGCCCCACGTCCCAAGTGTTGGGACCACAGGTGTATACCACCAAACCACCAAGCCTGGGTTATGTGGTGCTGGAGCGCAAACCCAGGGCTTCGTGAATGCTAGGTGAGCATTCCACCAAATGGACATTCTCTTAAGGAACAAAATTTCCTTTTATATTTTTACTTGAAATTTCAGTCCAGTAATACCACCACAAAGTTCTTAGATTTTCCTACCCCTCAGGAAAATGAGATATGCCAAGTGTGCATCTTCTGAACTACATCACTGCACCACTATGCAAGGCTAGAGCTGGAAATGGGGTACACTAGGAATATTGCCATTTGGGGACATCTATACCACTTACCTGGTTTTTTGTAAGCGAAGGGTCCCACAGTCCTACATCCTCCCATGTAGTGTTTTTCAAATAAAAGTCGTTAGGTTCAAACTGCTTAAAATCCTAGAAAACAGTGAAAGAAATTTACAAAAACACAGTGATATCAAGCTGAGCCTGACCTGACATATCAATTCTCCCTCTTCACTAGTGTGGAGGGTACAGAAAACCCCACTGAGAAGTAACAAGTGCTAAGGCTCTCAGGGAACACACAAGGGCATGGCCAGGTTCCCAACGAGGCTGCTGGAAGTTCAGATGTGAAAACTCCAGTCATACAGGCCATCAAAGCACTGCCGCTCACCAGTTATAGTACTGGGAGAGGAGCCATGCTTGCTACTAGCCCCGTAGGCTTTAAGCTCTGATTCAGTGGGGGAAAAATGGGAGGTGGCGTGCATCTGGACAAAAATTTGAGACTTTTAAACCCAGAAAGCAAGCACATAATATGCTATTCTATTTATACTCTAATGTGAAAATTCAACACTCCCACCCCAAAGATGAAAGAGTTTAAGGGTAAATTTCCCTCTTTCCTAAATGGTACACAGCTCCAGGTAGAAAGTTAAACACACACAAATGTCAACAGTCCTTATTGGGTCTAGTGGGAGAAACACATCAAATGCAGAATAGAGAAGATAACTTAATATTTGGATTATTTATTTTGGTAAAGATGACCCCCTCCATCCCCATGCAGATGAATGGACTGTTTCATCTGGGCAAATCTAGCTGAACCTGAGGGGTTGGAGAGGAGCTGGGCTCCTTCCACACAGGGACAAACCAACTAGAGAAGTTTCAGTTTCCATGACATAGCCCTGGAATATTGTAAATGGGGACTCAGGAAAAGAAAGCTTGTTCTATGAATGAATGGTTGGTCATTCTCTGAACACTTCTTCTGTACTTTATTATGTTTCAAGCACTGTGCTAGGTGGTGGGGATAATGGCAAACAAGGCAGCTTTGCCCTGGCCATCTGGAACCTAAAAGTTAGTGGGGGAAGCAGCTTTCAATGATTCAGTAGATTTTTGTGCAACTATTAAGATCTGGAACAAGGAGATCTGGACAAGGAGATGCCTGTACCAGCTAGCCTATGGGGCTTGAAAAGCTTACAGAATAAACAGGCTAGGAAAAGTCTGTAAAGGTCAAACTGTTATACAAGGGGAAAGGTAAATCTCTGATGGGTCAAAAAGGCTGACAAATGCTCAAATCCTAAGGAAAGAGATGACAAGCACCCAACAACCATGTCAACAGTGAGACCTATCAGGATGAGAAGAGGCTTGGCAGTTCCCACCGCCCCTTCGTAAACTGCAGACAAGAATTCCCGTGTTCCCCTCTAAAGGTTATTTTAAGGACTCAATTTATAGACAACTTAAAAGCACCTAGTACACTATTCTTTAAGTTCTCCACAACTATTTTCGTCTCAGGATGCAAAGATTAAAGAATACACTTTAGGAGAAGGGATTAGGCTATGCTAATAGAGAAAGCTCTGGTGAAGCTAAAGGTGCAGTTAAAATTCAGAATCCTACCTAATCATTGATCATCCTGACCACTGACCAAAGCAATGGATCAGAAGCTGAGTCACATCAAAATTAAAAAAACGGCATGCTACTTACTTCTATGTGTTCTTTACAGTATTCCAACCCAATGTCACTAAGTATTTTTTTCACAGTTTTCCGGGCTTTTCTTAAACTGCCAAGATTGTTGACAGGAAGTTGGAACATAGTTTCTATTGGAAAAAAAAATTTAAGTCAAAGTCAAAACATGTACAACGTGTAATAGTTACTAATTCCACTGATGACAGGATCCCAAACCCTGGCTCCCTCTGAAAATAGGTGAGATTTCTAGTCTAGAATATTCTGAATACTTAAAGGAGAGGCAAAGGTAAGTGCTTGCTTGCCTTTTCTATTTTGTTAGCAGCCCATGAGTTGAAGTACACAAGTCTCACGAGGCTTTAAAAACCAGTCTAGTAATGAACTTCAAGTTGAGAATTAGGGAAATAACACCAACCAGCTATTTTTAAGTCAAGCGTGCACGTCCTTCTCCATGTATTGTTGAATCTATAGACCTAGGAAAATGCTCACCACACAGCTATGGATGTCATGGAGAGGGTTTGGCTGTGGGCACCTACCCTAATCACTGCTACAGCACTCACAGAAGCCAACAATGCACTCGGTAACAGTTTCTGTCTATTTCTCAAGCCCAAGTCCCCAATGGTGATGTGACTTGCTCCTCAGGTGGCAACACATCAGGGCAAAGGCACTCATACAGGTCACAGAACAAACACTTGGATAGGGAAAGCTGTTGGCATCACAGAATACACGGTGGCTGCTGCAGGCTTTAGAAGATCCTTTTGAAAAACAGAATGCTCATATGTGTCTAAGGGAATCAAAAAGTTGTTTAACTGTCCAAATACACTAAAGTCAGTGACTCAGATCCATGTTCTCTAAAAACAAAGGCATCTGTATTTATTAATAAACTAATATGGAGCCAGGCATGGTGGTGCATACCTTTAGTCCCAGCAAGGCAGGCGGATCTCTGAGTTTGAGCCCAGCCTGGTCTACATAGTGAGTTCTAGGCCAGCTGGGGCTACAGGGAGACCCTGTCTCAAATAGATAAAAAAAACCAAAGCCTTAATATGGGTGGCTGAGAATTTATACGGCTTCTAAATGTAACCTTAACAGCCTTAATAATCTAAATCCAAAGTAATTTTGTGAAGTAGCTCTAAGACCAAATCCAGCAAAAACAAATGTCAATGTACCAGGAACCTAGATTTAATCTATGTAAACCAAGTCTTCTAATAGATGGAGGGCTGTTACTCCATAGCAGCATTACATTTGTGAACTGCTGGTCAACTAGTCCCAAGGTTCTTAAATCCGAACATGGGTATGATACTCAAAGTCGTAACTCTCAAAATACCCTATATGAAGCCCCAAAGAATTCCCTGAAAGCCACTTCCCTGACATAGTCTCCAGACGGCTGTAGTGGCCTCTGCCAGTCCCTGTTAGAATTACTATATACTATATGAAAATGAATTCAAGACCTTAATTTTTCTCAGCCTATTATCTGTTGTTAAATATTTAAATTCAAGCTGAGCATGGTGGTACATGCCTACAATCCCAGCACTTACACGAGTTTGAGGTCACGTATACCCTAAAATGAAATAAGCCCTATACACAAATATAAGTTCAAATTAGTAATCAGCTCCACGGTTCATTAATGTTAGCCACTTTATTTTAGCTTTAAAAAATTTATTTATTATTTTTATTTTTTATGTGTATGAGTTTATGCCTGCATGTAAGTAAGTGCACCCATGTCGTGCAATGCCCATGGAGGACAGAAGAGGCTGTCAGATCTCCTGGAACTGGAATTACGGACAGTTGTTAGCTGCCATGTGGGTGCTAGGATTCGAACCTGGGTCTTCTGCAAGAACAGTCAGTGTTCTTAACTGCTGAGCCATCTCTTTAGCCCTACCTTAACTTTTTAATGAGAACTACTTCAAGCCTCTGCTGGGCAGAGGGCACAAGTCTTTAATTCCAGCACTCTCCAGGCAGAGACAGGAGGATTTCTCTGAGTTCAAAATCAGCCTGATCAACCTATCAAGGCCAGCCAGCACTACGTAGGTAAGAACTTGTCTCAAAAACAAAAACAAAAAAGGGGTGGTGGGGAGGAAATCACCCCAAGCTTCAAACTACTTTTGAATCAGAACCCTAAACAAGACCACCATACATAAAGCGATTCTGAAAACAGCTAAAGTATTTATGGGGGAGAAGTGCCTTACAGCAAGGTCAAAAGCTGCCCTTGAGATGACTCAGCTGTGCAAGGAAGAGAGACATGCTATCCCCCAATGCACCCCAGGTCACTAAAGCCGCCTCCTTAGGCCTTCTTGGTTAAATGGTGTTGGCCTTTTTTTTAAAAAAAAAAACAAACAAAAAAAAAACAAGTATTATCCTCCCAAGCCCAAGCAGAATCTCCTTTCAGCGAACTGTAAACCTTCAGGGCATGGCATATAAAGGCAAAATATCCAGTGCAACAAAACTGTGACCTTATTCCTTAATCACTTCCAGGGCACTTAAAACGTTGCCAGTCATGGTGCTGAAACCAGAGTGAAGAACAAAACAGTAGGCCCTCAGGTGGCAGAGTTTTTAGACACACAAGTTTTCCTGTTGAGCCTCCTCTGGAAACCACCCCTGCCACAAGTGATGTGCTGGAAGTTAGGTCTCAGGCTGAGCAGTTAAGTGTTTCATGTCTGTAGACATCGATCAGTTCAAAACTGGACATGTGCCCCAAACATGGCTGTCAGAGATGCCGGAGAGTGGAGATGCCAGTGCAGGTAAAGAGCAGAGGGAAGGTGCCCGAGACAGCACGATCCCTACTACAGCTACCTCCACCCTTTCCAGAGGGAGAAAATTAAAATACTCTATGGAACGAGCCTTTCAAAAATCTAAAAAAATAATTTTTGGGAAAGCTCAAAGTGTCCCCCCACAACCCCAGTCAAGATAAATTACCTTTTTCGGGTTAGCATGTAACCATCTGAAGAATTGGACTTATACAACCAACTTTGGAAAATGACTCAAAATTCGTTTTGAATGAATCAGTCCCACTCATTCTCAGTTTAATAAACCCAGGCCAAACTCCTACTCAGGTGTTTTATTAGAAAGCAAGAGTCAGGTCGCTGGAATAAAAACCTGAGATTCATCCGGGCCCTAAGGCTACAGATGAATTAAATCCACATCAATAATACATTATGTCTGAGCCTCTCTTCTCTCCAGACAAAAAACGCAAACCATCCCCCTGTAGATCAGATAAGTTTAGGGCAAAGGTGATGATCCAACATTAGTACCTGAGCAGCACTGAGCAGAATCCATGGACTGAGAAAGTAGAAAGTAATTACAATCACTTGGAACAGTCACTGCCAAAAGTCCTGGATCCACTCAGAGGCTGTGCTCAGGTCCTTCTGGGTCAGGATGATGGAGAGCCCAATAATGAGTGACAGTCTAACAGTCCAAGGTAAGGTCTGTAGGACCTGATCATACACCGAACACCAGCTGGGCCTTGTCTATCGCAGTCTCTCTGCAAAGCTACCCAGTCAGGATGGCACCACCGAGTCCTATGTTTAGAAATAGAAAAGTATTTACTACTATGTCATCAAAAAATAAAACAAGGTAAGACAAAATGAGAAAAACAGAAAACTCAGGCAGAGGTTGATAGTTCCTCCATAGAGTATCTGTCTAGTATCCATAAAGCCCCGGATTTGATCCCCAGCATCTCAAAAAATAAAACACAAACAGCAGCAACACCACAAAGCAAAACAAAACCAAAACCCACCACCAATTAGAAACCTGTCTGTGCACAGAAGACAAAGGAAATCTCTAAGCACACCTGTCCAGATCACACTGAAGCCACTCCAGAGATACAGCCGAGTGTTTTCTAATACACAAATCCTCCCATTTGAGACATATCCTTATGTGAAGTTTCCAGACTTCCAGGAGTATACATATACAGGCTGATTCAACTTGCAGCAAGCACCACAGTAAATAGGATGGTGAGGCCAGCTTCCCACCAACTGTACGCATAGCTGCCACTTTCCAAACATGTACAGAGACAACTTACATGGCTTACATGAGGGAATAAAGTCTCTGATTTCACAAGAAGAGCCTACCAAGGCACTAGTTCCACTAGATCAAAGGCTGGAAGAGGTACTATTACTAGAAAACCAATTCATTTTTTATATTATCTAGCCAAATTAGTATGCAAACAATTTCCTAAGAACAAGAGACATTAAAAAATTCTCATGAGCCAGGCGTGGTGGCGCACGCCTTTAATCCCAGCACTTCGGAGGCAGAGGCAGGCGGATCTCTGTGAGTTCAA